ATACATGTTCCAACCCCCAACCTGGAGGACCAGGAGACTGTGTTCGTCTGACCTCTAACCATTGACCAACCTGGTATGAGAGACTCTGTGAGTGTCGCGCGGACACCCCCCAGTATAGCTCAATGGGTCACCGAGGTACACAAACCGCCACACGACGGTAAGGTCCAGTCTCTTCGTGACGGGTGCCAAAGATCTTCAAGAATAACAATAAGGCAGCGGATGGGTGTAGCATGCTTCTACGGAAGTACAATTTTTATTCCAACCCCTTAAGTTAAAGAAAACAGGAGACTGTTCGTCGAACCTTCATCCATTGACCAACCCATATGAGACTGGGTGCCAACGTGGTAAAAGACAAACTGCCAATCCAGCCATGCACGGGGGCTGGAATACTGTTGGGTTGCTCAAGCTCAGACAGGAAGAGTCGATAAGCAGAGGTCGGGTTCAAATTCGCACGGTCAGTAAATTTGCGCTCTAACCACTTGAGTCATCTCGTCCTGTCAACGTGAACCGCTCAGTGAAGTTAAATGAGAGTGGAACGGAGCGTATTTCGATAGTCTTCCGTTTCCGTCTGTGACCAGTTCGTCCCACTTGAGTTACCCCTGTTCGATGGGGACCAATGTATTTCGGACGATGGAAAAATCCACGCCAAGGAAAATTCTTGTACTCGTAGTGGTCGCGTAAAAAATTTCGGTTTCCGAATTCATATTAAGGTGGATTACGTGGTTGATATAACGGAGGATGAGAAGCCGATGACGACATTCACGTCCAAATGACTATTTTACCTCTTAAATTTTACCGCGTAACCCTGTCCACTAATTTCAACGGAATCACGACCCCGAAGATAAACCGGCTTTACTGCTTCTGGTGCCGTCCATTTAGATGAGCAGATAAAGTAAAAATTTATCTGGAGAATGATCAAGTCGAAAACGGATGCAGTCTGTGGCGCGTGTTTTTTCGAGTGTCAATTGCAACTTTCTGATTCTACTGAAATATCTTGGCTCTCTATGGCGCCACCATCCATCACCTGAGGGACGATTAAAGTAGATTACGGAAAATATTGGCTGTGACCGATGTATTCTTTCGAGTTGGAATTCCGAAGATTTAAAAACGTTCAGCTGCAGCATTTTCCCGGTACCTAACTGCCGTGCCACCCAAAGGAATCACAAGGGCTGGGATACTGCCAGATTGCCCAAGCCTAGACAGGGGAAGTCGATAGGCGAAGTTCATCTTGGGCTAATGAAACCTGTCGAAATTGATGGATGGAACTGCTCTGCTTTGGCAAGCGTAATGCTGACGAAAGGCGCGCACAATGCGTGATAAGAGTCAAGTTGCCTACCCCAGAAAGAATGACAGTATTTAATTGAGGCTCTCCATTGGCCACGTTGTCCAACTGAGTCCACGACCTTGTGGTTGGTGCCTCCAAGTAACTCGATGTGATCGTTTTTGTTAGAAGTTCGTACTGTTCAGGAGCAGACGGTGATCTGCACACAACTGAGGTAGTCGCTGCCCATTATCGGTGTGCTGAGCGTTGACTCCAAATCTAACACCTAATTTTGCTTCTTCCAGACTTAGTTGTCCAAACTGGGCATTCATAGCACCCGTCAGAATTACTGTATCCGTCCTGCTTGCTGACTGAAGTAGTTGCGACAGGTTTTGGTAAAATCCGTCCTTTTCAGTCTTAGAGATGCAATCTGTCGGGACGATTGCTGATACGTGGAGCCAGACAACCGCACAGCAGAAAGATGACTGTTCACTGCGCCCAACACGCATTGCAGCATAGTTGGGCGTTACTGGATATTTTGGGAATTCGTCGCTGCCACCGATCAAAATTCCATTGTCAGTTTTGCCAACTAGCCACTGCATTTACAAATTCATCTGACCGAAATGCGAGAAAAAGGGTACCTGCTCAAACGAATCCGTGCACTACCGGTTGACCTTAATGTACTTTGGAACGAGCCAAGGACCAAGTTATCGGTTACCAGGCATCTAGTCTATGACGCCCGGTTTCTTAATCTTATTATATATGGAGGCCCCTTTTGTTTCCATTGAACCCTAATAACTACTGCTGCAGCATTGAAAATTGTGGCGAAAGTGCGCTTTATAGCGTTGTGTGGGCTCCCCGTGTCAGTGAGAAGGCTAGTCAGTGTTGTCAAAATATCCAATAAATATTTGTTACTTCCGCTCGCCTCAGTTTGAGTGTTCTGGAAGAGCCTTACCGTCTTACGACACCGTAAAATTTATGTATGTTGAACGGACGTACTTAAGCGCATTTCATACTGATCACTAGCTATCGCTGCACGCAGCAGAGTTCCCACCTGCGCATAAAATTACTACCCTTCGTGCTACCTCGTTGTTTAACCTGTGTGGCATCCAAGAGGATAACTGCCATGGCCAATACTTGACGATTCCAATCCTCTTCTGTCAATTGTAATAAACTCTTGTCTTTCAGGGCAAGCAGACCGCGTTTTTCCTAAAACCATTTGCTGCGAGGTTATCCTATTGGTATTAATGCAAACAATTTTTTAGGCCTTACTATAAAGGGGTGTTCTCTTATCCGGTCACTCGCTTAGGGACAGAACCATGTGGTTGGTGCACGCATGACACCAGAAGGTCAAAATTACGGGAGTTTGAAGTATGCTGAGTTAACTTTTCACTGAGACGAACGTTGATATTTTGATACTGCAGAAAGCGAAACCGATATAACCGTCATTTTTCAGACAGTAATGTCAATTATGCTTTCGGATTATTTGTTTTGTGTATGTTATTTGGAGCCCTTGTGGAATACTTCTGCTCGATACGCGTAACGATTTTGTTTTCATACAGCCCTTCCACTTACTGATACTTCTGCTGGGCGTGTCATGCTACCATCACGTTCTTCTGTGCATTCTTCCAACTACACTGATTCACAAAGTCACTTCGGTGCAGTTACCGTGCTTCCATAAATGTTGATAAGTGCAGCAGAATGTATACGCCGTTTGCTAGATTCGTGGATGGTGTGCGGCATTGTACAACCTTCATCGTGGCGCACAGTGATAATGGTTGAGGTGTACCCCACTATCTTGCAACATTTTTGGACGTGTTACCTTGCTCATCGTGTATTCACATGCACGTTATCTCCATTCATCTCTTGTTTTCCATGATTAGGCAAAACCACAATGGCAGACGCGCTTCTGGCGACGAACGGAATCGTGTCCCTTCGACAGGCCGGTAAGCTGCGCTACATGGACAACACGGAAGCTGAGCAAGAACGCGGGATCACCATGAAATCCAGTGTAGTCGGTTTGATCTTTGCTCCTACTCTGACCAACAAAACACCAACCAGGAAAACCTTTTTGGTTAATCTTGTCGATTCTCCCGGTCACGTAGACTTCGCTTCGGAAGTCTCCACAGCCGTACGCTTGTGTGACGCCGCCATAGTTGTTGTCGATGTAGTCGAGGGTGTTTGTCCTCAGGTAAACTGATCACCTGCCTGTTTCCAAATTGTGCTACTCTCTTTATAGACCCGTACTGTGCTTCGACAGGCGTGGAACGAACGACTCACCCTCATTCTGGCCTTAAACAAGATAGATCGGTTAGTGTTGGAGCTGAAGTTGACGCCCTTACAGGCTTATGAAACCCTATGCCGTGTGCTAGAGCAAGTCAATTCTGTACTAGCAGAGATGTTCACTGCGGACGTGGTCCGGCAACGGGATGACGTTTGGCGATTCACCGAAGTAGCACAGGTATGAGCCTTTGTTGTCCACCGGATTGGTTTGAGGGTTCGGCCTGTATATGCGTGTCTATATGCTGTGTTTGACATCCCTCTTTGTATCTCGTTCACGTTTCCTACTTCCTAGAACAAAATGGAATTAACATTTTCACGCGCATCCTTGTTCGAAAACCTGTGATGTTTTCATGGTGCTTTTCTGTAGTTTAAGCTTTCCTCTCTTAGGTACAGTATCCTATTTCTGTGGTCTCGGTTGTCTTAGTAAAGAACTCTGCCTCTCGGCATCCACCGCCTACGCTTGGGTAACCTGGCAGTATCCCAGCCCTCGTGCNATATATATATATATATATATATATAATGACATCGAGTTGCTCAGAATGTGAGACCGTGCGTATTGCGAGAAAAAAAATGAAATGTCTCCATAACCAAGAGTTTATACCTTCGAAGCGCTCAGTTTAAAAGAACAGATGAACCTTGATACTCCTTATTTGATAGTCAACGAAAGCCGAATAAAGATTCTGCCTTACTAATGGGCAATTGGCTGTTGCGCAATCGATGTTGCTGCGGTGTGGATGTCTGTCTGACCATGTTGGCTTGTCTTTTTTACCCTGTTCGAGAGAAAAGCTGCTCTTCTTACCTGTGAAACTGTCATTGCTTTTGAAGGTAAACAACAAAATATATAAATCGTCCGACTGTAACACCCTTCCGATGCCCAGCTGCCATGCTACCCGAAGAAAGCACGAGGGCTAGGATACTACCAGGTTGCCCAAGCCTAGACAGGGAAGTCGGGGGGCAGAGGTCGGGTCCGAACCACGGACCTTCCGGTTAGTAAGATAAATTCGTAAAATAGAAAGTTCGGGTATTCGCAGTTGCTGGCTCAAAACTAGGGTTTCTGGTAAACTGGGAGGGTCATCCATAGTTGAGTTGCTAGAAGTTTATAATCTAGGGTGGCCGTTGTTGTCCATCTAATCTTTTTGGTGGACTAAGATGACAGGAAATTCTCCTGGGTCATTCACAACGGAATCTTTTCTAATTCAAGTGGGTTTAGGTGGTTTTTCAGTAGCACAGATGCTTTTCCATTGTGGACTGGTGCCCTGAGCAGTCGGTACAGAGCAGTGCGTTTGTTCATTGACTGCTCTGAATTGTTTTACTTTAGTCAGTGCACGTAATGTGTTTCCTGGATCTCTTTTGAAAACCACATCTACCAAGTAACAGCCTGTCCTAAAATTCAGAGAAATAGGATGGGCAAAATTTGCGATGCACACGATTACAACGCTACCCAACGTTATTGGTTTCGAGACATCCAATGAAGTCAATCCTGCTACCATTTGCTAGTAAATTACGAGGTCAGTTATGTGAGTGCGCAATACACTTTTCACCTCACAAATCGGTGATTGACGTTTCAAAGACGAACCGTCAGAAAAATAACGTTTACTTATCTCCCGAGGTAGAGTAGTATGACAATACCCGGGGTCTGTAGTGTTAAAAAAGTACATTCGATACGTACTTCTGCAAAATCCAAATCCAAGCCCACCCGAATACGGTTCCAACAGATTTGCAACCAGCTGCCACATGTGGGCGGTAGACGAGTCAACAAAGGACAGCCTCCAGCAGTCCCAGGGCGAGCCGTATGTTGATAATTATCTAGGTTTCAGTGAACAAGTGGTCGTTAAATACGCTCTAGGAGCCTAGAACAGGAAAAACAAGATTCTAGTTGAAATTATACTCGAACACCCACGCCCGCTTCAGCACCGGAGCTAGCTACTTTTTCTAGATATCAGATCCAAGTCCCTATTATTATTTGGAAAACCATTCGAGTTGAAATTATACTCGAACACCCAACGCCCGCTTCAGCACCGGAGCTAGCTACGTTTTCTAGATATCGGATCCAAGTCCCTATTATTATTTGGAAAACGTGGCTTTTGCTCTCTCTCCGCGTAAAGTCACGTGTAACAGGAGACCAAACAGACACGGTGCACGATAAGAGATAGTCAAATAGTGATCAAAAATAGTGGTGCGTCATACGATTAAGTACATAGCAGTCTAGTTGAGACAATCAATTAACTCACATAACAGACTCGCTTCCCTATCAATCAAGGACCGTTATTCGTCGTTGCATGTTATCTATTAGGAATGGGCCGTAACGAGCCTTCAGTGAAGAGATCAAATAGGATACACGACCAAGCATCAGTTCAAATCGTTCCTCTGAAAAACAACCTGAATGTTGAGCGAATAGTTTAGTTTTGACGAATAGTTCATCTTTCCTTAGAAAACAGCAGACTTGGCCACCCTCCTGGATGTGCAGGTGTGGCGAGAAAACTAATCTGTACCAGGGTTTGAGGATTTGTGCTCCATACAAGCTCTTTTGTGAAATCGACATTTAGTGAACTGGCGTCTCTGTATCGTGCTATCTGTTTTGCGATCCTCGCTGTAGCGAATAGCTCTGGTGGGATTGTACGACCATATCCCTCAACAGTAAGCGCTAAGATTTCCGTTACTCGTGGATGCGATCATTCCATTGATACAACCGATTTCGATGGGCCTTTTCGAGATCTGGATAGTGTGGATGGTTAATGGTAACTATCCCGTATATGTGCCTCCAGCGAAGTATTTGGCCTTGTACACGTTTCTATCAGGAGTGCCAACAGAAGGAACGAACGCCGGTCCCAAGTCGGTCCCCTAAGGTTCATCGTGCCTGGAGGGCCAACTCGGAGCAGCGAGTATTCATCGTTTTACGAGGTTGTTTGGTTGGCTGCTCACTACGATAGGACTGTGAAAACAAGATTGAGCTTATAAAACATCTGCGGAAAACAGATGGCGGATATTGAACTCCAATCGCACGCGGATCGCTATTTCCGCAAGGAATTCATACCGGACTACTACCGCGGTATCGGCCTCCTATGTACAGCAGGCAAGACTGCTCAATCGACTAATCATAGCGTTGTGAATTAAAATGTTCCCGAAGCGCAACGTGGATCTCGAGACGGTCGAAATACGCTTGACTTGGTTCTGACGCGAGACAAATAAAACAGAAGCATCATAAACGGGATCAGTCACTCCGTGGATTGTTGATGAATTCACCAAAACCTTCGAATCAGTTAGCAAAGATGCAGATGCAAAGATGCTTCCACCCAGGCCTAATAGTCCAGCCGAAAACGCCGACTACCCTGACGGCGTTCGTCCTATTCAAGCTCTACTTAACCACCTGTGCAGTATCTCTCCTCTGTTGAAAACGTATGATACCAATTCAATATTGGTTGGATGGTTTGTATACAGTTCGAAGCGTTTCCTGACCAAAACACTGCTGCGCGAATCGATCGTCCGTATACTGCTATTACCCATGATTATACCTTGCTTTCGCGTTGTGAGGCGGCATTTCAGCGGCTTTTGGAGTGTTTAGTTTAACATCTTTTCGTGGCACTACAAAACACAGGACAGTTTCTCTCCTGTCCAGTTCCTTTCCCTTTGATTAAGGGCAGTATCGTGACATCCTTGTCGTCCTGTAGGATGTCCTCGGCTTCTGGTATTGAGCTGATTAGATAGAGAAATTCATATTGTGGTCCTCGTTCACCAAGTTTTGGACAGTTGGGTGGGTAACCCATCATTTTCAGAGGTCTCCCCGTTTTGATATGTCAAATTGCTCTCTGCAGTTCCTTCATCGTTGGAGGGTTGACTATATGCTCCTTCTCTGTACGTTAGCTTATTTGGTTCGGTTGTATATGAGGGAGAGAAATGGGTCGTTTATCTTCAGTTTTCGTGAGCTTGTGAAGCTTCAACAGTAGGTTTTGGGGCAACTAAGTTTTCAATGCATCAAGGCACTCTTTACAATGGTTATGTTAGGCATACGGCTCGATTTACTCCCTAGGTCTCATGTATCATTCGTTTTCAGCTCGCGCATGAGTTCAGTGAGGTTGCTGTTCGAAAGTTTTAGACAGAGAACCTTGATGGGTTCCACAGCACTCTTCCGCTCAGCCATGTATGAAGTCACATTGCCGTTTCCTTCAACTCAATACTTTCGAGCTGATTTCCTCACCCAGATTGTCTCCAGTACAACTACAGTCGATTGTCGTCCAGTGACTCCCACTGAGTCTCTTGGACAACATTTGCCGAGTTTCAGTTGTTTGGCATCCAGCCTATGATGTGGTCGCCTCTAGATGATGCGCACCTTCGCTTGTGCCAAAGGATGGTCCGTGTCGAATTCACTACCATGCACCGCTTTGCTAAGAAGAATATCCCTGAAGTCTCTTGAAGGGCAACGACCCAGTGGAATCTTGAATGACCTGTCCTCGCAATGGTACTTGCATGTCTGCAGCTGCCGACTATCATTTTCCAGATCAGAAACACACCATTCGCACTAGGAAATCGAAGACATTATTTTATTGACGGTTCCGTTTTGCTTGCGCAGTGTTGACATTGCCATTGTTTGAGCCTAGACATTATCATTCATCATCTGTGTCGGACCTATTCCGTGTTCACACCGGTTCATGTCGTGCTCCCCACCTCACGAACCTAGTCACTTGACTGCCTGATGTCGTGACCTTGACTGTCTGGTGTTTCTTAGCATCCTAGTCTGTATGTATGTATGTAGTCTGTATGTAACAAGCGACCGTTGATTCCCGTTCCGGCTCCAGCGTCTTCTTCCCCATATCCCTTGTGTGCGCAGATAGGTCTGTTTTATTGCCGCTGCTATTACGAGTGCAGAACATCTGACCACATATCGTTGGCTGTTAAATCTTGAGCATTAAGGTTTATCCGCTATTTTATTAGTGAACATTCAAAAAAAGTGGAAACACTTCGCTTCCACCCGCAATACGAACTACCACTGTCTTGACTTTCTGGATAAATCGAAATTTCCAAGAATTGAGCGATGTCCTTAGGAGAAATGCACTATACTTGTTTTTAGAGGGAGGGGTGAAGTCATTAAGATTGCCCTTTTGTCCCCGTTTTATGTACTACCTATGCGCAGAGACGTATGGAGCTACCAAGTACAGTCATAAACTGCACTTCCTATTGATTACTTCCTACTCACTTAGGTGTTTCCGTTAGCTGGCCACACATTTCGGTGGCTTTGCGTACAGTTGCCTCCCTTTAAAGGAACCGTCTGTGAGTTAGTCTCCTCCGGAATGGAATTTGCTATTCAAATGCATGTCCATGGTGCAACCAAAGCAGTCTGTCCTGACAAGTGGTTTCCATCCATCACAGTTGACTGTTCCATCGTAACCGTCGGCTTAGCGTACCCGATTCTTCACCTTTAATCGCAACTGGGTGACTGCTCCTATGGTTCCTAATTCACTTGTGACTTGCACCGCGATGTTATTTTTAAGCATATTGCTTCATGTAGCTTCCAGGAGACATGACATATTCAGCAAACCTGAATCTAACGAGTGCTCTAGTTGTCACTGATGGTCCTTCTCGCTAGACACAGAATACTTTCTGTGATCTTGTAACTTCCATGGGTTTAATCATGTATGACACACGGTTGGGCCCGACTTAACGGTTTCCGTTAAAGGTTTTTTATCCAGAGTGGACGAGTTCGCCAATCTGTTTAGGGACACGCAGTTAGTGCTGAGTTCTTCCCAACATTAACCATCACACTTCAGACATCCGTAACGATGTTTGCCTGTAGCCATCACGGTCATTTCTTAGTCATGACAGGAAGCATGTACCTATTAGCAAGGGACTTATTGGAATCTATTGAGGTCAACGGTTGCAAGTTTTTCCGTACGAATGTTCTTCATCAGTTCACCTAAAGGTGTGTGGTGAAGTATGCGTCAAAATATGTATAAGTTGATGGAACCACTCGATGATTATGTCAATCCATAGGTGAGCGTCTTTTATCTTCTGTATGATTGTCTCCAAAAAGAACAATCGGAACCGGGGACGCGGTAGCGGTAGAGTTATTTCTGTCATTAACCCACTGTGCACGTGGAACACTTGAGTCTCGAACACAACAGTCTACCTTATCAACCCAAATCGGTTGACTTGCTCTGTTCCAGACGGACACAACTTCAGAATCAGGAGGTTCTCAAAGTGTCACTTACCTACTAACCGATGACAGTGAACATACAGATGATTCCAATCTGTATTTCTCGCCCGATCGCGGAAATGTGGTGTTTGCTTCGGCCTCGGACACTTGGGGCTTCCGGCCTTCAGACTTTGTGGAAACTTGGTCAAAGCGTTTGGACGTCTCGGTCGAAAGACTTTTTGAAGTGATTTGGGGCGACTTCTACATCAGCCGCGGAGGTGGAGGTGATGGGGGCAAATGTTTTTTCAAACCTGGTGCGCACAAAAACAGGAAGAAACCGGTGTTCGTACAGTTAGTACTGGAACCACTGTGGCAAACATATCAGGTACGTCGATAGTGTTGACCGCTGTTTTGAGTGGAATCCTCAAGTTGATTTGTTTTTCTGATTTAACGCCACAGGTCATGTCGAACGCCACAATACCGCGCATTAACAGTTTTTTATGGTTTGATAATATGTGAACCAGCTAAGAATGGGTTATGGATTCAGTTGAGTATAGTCATAGAGCCGCATAACACTAAAAGTTCAGAGACCTTTGTTTGACCGAGACGCTTGTTTCATTCACTGGCGACCTTGTAAGTAGATTTCGAATTCCCCGTTTTGAGCCGTCTTCAATTATCCTTATCAGTCCTATAAGCTATCCGTTACCTGCCAATTAATCAAACTGCTACAGGTGGAACCATTTTTACTTGCAACGGTTTGTGGCTTTTGTTGTCGCTGATGATGATGGTGATACCGAGGTATTTGTGTCGAAAGTCAAACACTGTCCAGCTGACAGTCTACCAAACTATTCTGAGTCCCTAATCGGTTCCAACCACTTTCCAATCGATTGAAAAGTTAGAAGGCCATCCACGTTTTCATCCCGAGAAGTGGCACTTGCCAACCTGCATAGGCTCCGCGCGGTTCGCCACTAAGCTTCTGGGTTTTATTGAGAAAACTACACACCAGTAGCATGCTTTCAGCATGAACACCAGCCACTAACAATGTATTTTTCATCGTTCGTCGTGATATACTATTTTATGCTCTGTATTAGGGATTCAGATAGTAAGCTGTCTCTTCTCACGTTTCCCGCTTAAGTACAGTAGACAGCTTACTGCCACCTTTCCATCTCTTGGAGCCTCCCTCAAGGGTTTGACATAGATGGAGATCGAAAGAAAGTATCATTTCAGCTTGTTATATCCGTCCTTCGTTGGATATCAGAATTCTAAGTAATTACTGTCCTGGCAAGAGTCCGCTGAAAATGTTCTGGGTTCCAGTTCACTTCCACCAACTCGTATTCCGCGCCAATTCTTACCATGCTTGCAGGAAAACTATTAGCCGTCCTTTTAAGCAGTCTCACGTGTCTAATTTGTTTGCTTCAGAAACTAGTTATTGACGATTGTCCCAAAGATGTGTCTGCTATGGCCAGTAAGCTTGGCGTACAGTTGGATGCACGTGCTATCCGGAATACTGACTCTCGAGGTGTCCTCCGTGCTCTCCTAATGGCCTGGCTTCCGCTGGGGCACAACCTGCTCCAAACCGTTACCGAGGTTTGCCCCAGCCCACTGAATGCCGTATCAGCGGACCGGGCAGTACACATGCTGTACGGAGATGTTGCTCTACACGGTTCCGTACAACCTACCGGTTCAGTTTCCAAGACTAGCAAGACGGGAACTTGTCCTGTTCAAGTGTATCAGACTTCACGACTGACGTTGGATTCGACGTATGCCACATCCGGCGCCAGTCTCGGTAGGTTTCTTTGTTTCGTATGGCTTCATAGGACGTTCAACGTGAGTTTGTGTTATCTGAAGGTTACAAACATAGTGTTAAGTAATCTCAGCTCCTTCTGTTGTTAATTAAGTTTGACACTCTTTTGTCTCATTGCACTGCTTCGTAATAGATGCAAACCCACTCCAGAGCTGATCTATACACGAAGCTCTGTGTTCTCACGCTTGTGGTTGAGGTTTTTACACTAAAGTGGAAGAAGTTACGAAACACAACTGAAGGTAGGATATGAAGAAAACGTCAAACTTCGGTTAAACAGATGAATTCTGATTTTCTGTAACTGCTCAGAGGGACGACCTGGAAAGTTCGACATTCTAAATGACAGCTATCAAAACTCGCTCCAATATATACGGCAACTGCAGTCGGTGGAAGCAGTGAGTAAACGTCAGCCTGGCTAAAATCGGTAGTCACTGGTAAGACTGGTGCGAGTTTGGCAAGTCACGTTGCGCCGATTGATGGCTATCCGGTCTCACGACACTCAATGCATGCGTGGCTTTCCGTTCTTCCCTGTAAAGTAGTGTTATATGGGAACAAGATGATTTAATTTTTCTCCTTCATGTCGTCCAGCAAACTCAAACGGGATTTATGTGATTAAACTGAGTCGAAATGTGTGTCAGCACATCATCATTGTCAGCTGTAGTAACCACGTAGTTGTCGTACAGTGGTTTAAGCTGCCACAGTTTCGTTCATTGATGATTCGGGGAGGTGGGGTAGGTAATTGCGCATTTGAGGCGGGAGCTGATAAATTAGTGCATAAATACAGCACTGTATGTGAACTGTTAAGTGGGGGGATTGGGAAGGGAGCTATGCATTGAAGGCAATGGCTTGGATGCATTAGTGCAAGCACATCGGCATCTACGAACTGCGCATTAATAACGTGTTGGTATTGTGCTATTCTGAAACCGTCGAAAGTGAAAACTCTTATTCCAGCACCTAACACTATCGTGTCTTGTCAACCAGTCTGCGTGCGGACCCCGTCAGCGACTGTGAGCTTAGATTTCATTAACCAGCTTCCGCTCCGGATATTTGTTTCACGTATGTTTAATATAGCGTAACAAACATTGTCAAGCTCCTACCCTTCCCAGATGAACCAATCCTTGCAGTTTTCCTACAACTGACACGGTCGTATAATTCTACCACCTATGTAGAGAATAAATTCACTCATTTATCAATATCAAGACTAAGGCGCTGTAATTAGTAGTCATTTCCCATGTGACTAAGCCTAATATTTATGGATGGAAACATCTCCAGTTCTTTGAAACACCGATGCACGCATTGGGTTCCTTATACCTAGTTCTTTTATTTCCCTGAATGAAAATACCCACTTGTTGCCCAAAACTCTTCGACAGCCCATGATGGGTTTCGCCCTTCTCGGAACTCATCAAGCAGTTTCCATCTGCCCTATGTATTTCGCGTATTTTTATCACCATTACGCAGGTTTTGTGCCATACACAGGTTGCAATATAGTCGGAAGGGACGTTTCAGGGAAATCTGGGGAAGTGTCCTCTTTTGGGAAATTCGTGTCATTCCTTAGAAATCCCAGGTACGTCCACGACAGTCGGCGTGCTATAATGTTAACAGAAAGTCAGTAGAACGGACTATTAGCGACAACCATAGTGCATTAGGCGGTGTGTGGCAAATGCGTCATCAATCGTTGGAACGAAGAAATCAACCCATCTAATCAGTGCGTTTTGTGTGGCCACGCAAGTGTTATTTGTATAAGCTCACGCTCTTATGGACCACATTAGGCTGCTTGTCTATGCATCCGTGAAATATAGCCAGTTGTAGAGGAATTATCATACATTGAATTCAGCGATACCTTTCCTCACTCCAGGTTTCACCCGTCATATGCTAATATTTACCGTCGCACAAACACTGCTACAAAATGGGAGGCGAAGCACCTAAAGACTGACATTCCCTGAGGGCCTTATGTCATATGTGTTCGGAGGTATCAAATCCCCTACAGTGTGATACAAAGAGGGTCCACTTGCTCAAACCGTCATAGCTGCAACTACTTTATCAGTTAGGCTCTTCATGGTTTTGTGGCGGAAGGTTGTTTATTGATAGCGTTGACCGATTGGAGTGCTAAAACCATGCTACAACCCATCGAGAACCATAGTGTTGCTTGATTCCTCTTATTTGGTAAAGTGATTCGCGCCGGCCTCTCAGTTCCAAAACGACTTAATTTCGATCTAGCTTTACGACAATCGAGCGGTAGTTATTATGTGTACACAATCGAGTATCTTCAGGCGAATTACAAAATGTTACTTTCCTTTATAGCTATTCAGGCCAGCAATTCGTCCCCGGACTCACCTACAATCGTCTTCGTAGCAAAAGTCTTTTGGACTGATAAGCTCCATGTGACTGGACCTCGGTACCCGAAACCCAAGACTGCGTGAGTCAGAGTATACGTTTTTCTAATCTTCGCTCTTTTTTCTTGAAATGAAATTTACCTGCGTTCCTCGTTTCCACAAGGTTTTCTCGTGGTTACCTTCCATGAATATATAAATTTCATGGCTGTATTAAATATAAACGGTAGTAAATTATGACCATTAAGCTGTAACACCCTTTCGGTGCCTAGCCGCCATGCCAACCGAAGGAGGCACGAGGGCTAAGATATTTCTAGGTTGTCCAAGCTTAGACCGGAGCAGTCGAGTTGCTGAGGTTGGGTTTGAACGACAAACTTTCTGGTTATGCCTTCACCATTGGGCTACCTTGACCTTTTAAATGGATATACGTTATCCCGAGGTAAATCCCTTGTACATTTTATGCACAAGACTGTCGAAGTGTTCACGCAGAGTGTGACGTGATGTTTGATGTAATGTAGGTATTCGGTACAATTTCCTTACGCCACGTAGGTTGCTAAATCCCCAGTGTTGACGTGAATAGGTCGGTTGCAAGTGTGATTTGCGGGTCTGCTCGCTTCCCAACCTGATGCCTGTTCTTTTTTGTGTCTTGCTCTGATGCTGTGCCTGTAGGCAAATGTGCGACCTTTCGCAGTGATCTCATATGCTAGCAGAGTTTGCTCAGAGCTGTTTGCATCCACCCACTTAGCGTCCCAATGGACCGACTGGAGGATTTTGTGGGAACAATCACCTGGACCGACGGTGTTTTTTGTTTCGTCCTCGTTTGATCGCCTGCACTAATTAGCCGTTTTCTCAGCAAGCATGTCTTTTAGCTAGTACGGTGCAGTACTTTGATACTTCTCTATCCTTCAAAATGAGTACTGATTGATGGATCTGCTGCTTAGCTGCTAGAACGAGATAGCTTAGTGGTTAGGGCGCAAATTTACTAACCCGACGGTCCGTGGTTCGAATCCTACACCTTCTCCTTGACTTCCCGTGTCTAGGCTTGGACAACGTGGCAGTATCCCAGCCCTCGTGCTCCCTTCGGGTGGCATGGCAGGTAGGCACCAAAAGGGTACTACAGCTGAATTTTCTATCTGCCACTGGATTGATAACCGTTGTCCACTTTTTAATAGACCAGTTGATGTTGAATTTGCTTTGATCACAGGACCCAAGATACGCCTTCGTTAGAGTGTACCGCTGATGCAGAACCCATCGAGGACACTTTACAGTCGGACCCGCAACGCACTTATCACCATTCGTCCAGTGAAACCGCTAGACTTTCTGTTCTGCGTTCGCCTTCGTCAGAGTGCACCGCTGATGCGGAACCCATCGAGGACACTTTACAGTCGAACCCGCAACGCACTTATCACCATTCGTCCGGTGAAACCGCTAGACTTTCTGTTCTGCGTTCACCGCTGCTGGCTACTCATCCTTTGAATGAAGTTGAATTTGTTGCGCTTGCTCGAATATTCAGCGGATCCGTTTACCCAGGTCAGCGAGTCTTCGTGCTGGGGCCAAAATTCGACGGCAGTAAGGTAAGTTTGCTTCTGATTGTCTTTTTACTACGGGGCTACTTTTGTTATTTTCTGTCCTCGAATCGTGGTCTTGTGATTCTCAAAGTGGTTGGCTCTTTGATCTGTCTGAAGCTTATCCATATTGACTTTAAACTGTACGTCAGATGGTCCTAGGAAGAGGGTACTCTCCCCTGATAAAGGAATTACTCACGCTTCATCCACCAAATACGCCTTTTAGGACTACGTTTCGGTTACGTCCTCTACCACATGAAATATTGCCAGCTTGGATAGATTCAGTAGAATGAGAATACGTGATATCCGGAGCAAAATAACCAACGGGGACAAACAATTTCCATACCATAACGAACTAGGCATGAGTGAGTGTATGCAATATACTGAACAGAACAACTAACCGTATCAAATGGTTTCCAAACCGCAACGCACCACAAATATCGGCATCCGATGAATCAATTAATTAAGAGGACATCAGATCACAACGTAGCAGAGACCTAGAACGGACAGACAGATAACCCGAGTCACCGTGAACCAATCACATTAGAGAAGCGGGTTGTCCGTAGCTGAACTACGTTAACTCAAGCACAAGAGGAGGACGCACCCAACCAACAGTGCACTAACGAAACGTTTTCAAGTCATATGTCAAACTTGGCGAACAAGCCAACAAATGATACCTAAGATACTCTTCCGTCAAGCCTTTGTATCGAGGATTGTTCATTCCCGGCAGTCGCTTTGGTATTTTCTGTTTCCTGCCGTTTAGGAATGCATCATCTTCCAATCTTCCCTGGCTGCAGGCGTACCCTTCCCTTTCCTAAGGGAGTAGACTCGAACAGCAGATAAAATGCATCAGCCACACAATGACAGACGGTATTCTGATTGACAGGATCCCTGCGGTGTAACCCCTGGTCAGTCACCCTCGTCACGCAGTCGTTTCCGTTGCGAAATGTGTGGCGTATATCTGTTACAATAGTCCACGAGATATAGGGGGATAAACCACTTGATGGTTCAATGGAGTTCTTTTGAACACGTGCAATGTAATCCATCTAGTGTGTCGATATGAGTTGTCAATACCTCGTCGGATTCGATTCCTCGAAAGTAGAGAACGACTCCACTGCTATCACTTTATGGCTGATGGGTTTTGTCAAGTTTCTTTCAACTGTTTGCATCTGTGTAGTTCATTCTTACAAAACCAAACTTTCGAAGACTACAAAGTGAACCATTGTAGTTATTGCTAAAACGGTATCACGAACCCACTTTTTTGATCTTATTCTTTCCTTATTCATTTAGGTCCCCAGTTATCTGTTGGATGCCGATCCAGCCGACTTTCCGATTGGTCCAGTGCGTCTTTGCAGTGAATATGATGACCAAGACCCAATGGGCCATGGCAGTCGGTCTGAGGATGTACTAGGCACTAGCCCGTCTGCGTCCTCATGTGCCGCGTTCTCACGATCGGGATCAATTGGAGGCTCCAGTGGTGGTCTGCGTGGTGATACTGTTTGTCTACGACACGTCTACGTGGCAGTTATTGTTGGCGTATTGCAGCTTCTTGGGGGCCAACATGATTTAGTGGAAGTCGCTGGACCCATTCCCTCGGGCAACATTGTCGGGCTGACTGGACCTGATTTGATAGCATTCCTTCCCAAGTCTGGTCTCCTGGTTAGTCGATTGTCTTTGGTAGCTGGAGCGTCTACGGATGAGACTTCATCTGGAGCACGTGCCGCTCCCGTCCTGCCTTTAGCTGGGTTGGCTGTTTGGCAAGGGGCTCCCGTAATATCTGTTGCGGTTGAACCGGCTTCTGCATCGAATCCTGAAGATGTTTATCGGTTAGAGCGGGGATTGCGTTTACTGGACCGCGCTGATCCATGTGCGGAGGTGTGTCTGCTGACAATTTGGTAACGTAGTGTATATGTGTATATGGCGTTATTATGTATTCATTGTTATCCTTAAATATTCACATTTCGAGCTTCGTCATCATTGAGATGGCATAAATCTGACCTTGTAATCCGAAACCGTGGTCAGCTGGTGGTCGCTCCAGTTTCCTGTAGTTAACCAAATCTGTAAACGTTCTATGGTGTACAGAACTACTCATATACTTTGTATACCTCTTCTCTCCATAGGTCATCATATCTCCTACCGGTGAATACCTGATCAGAGCAGCCGGTGAGGTTCATCTACAGAAGTGCCTGGAAGATATGACTAAATATTTCGCTCCTGACGTGGAGTTGCAAATATCACCCTTTGTAGTCCCCTTTCGCGAGACAATCATTGATGCTTGCCCTGTCTGTTTCAATTCCCTGGCCTTAACTGCCACTGAGTCGTACGACAAAGCATATCACAAGCTAGAAGAAATATACCAAAAGCTAGAGCAACACGGGGGTGCGCTGTCCATACCCTCGACCACAGAATTACCGGTCAGTACCGAAGCGTGCTCAGAAGATGCCAGTCCACTCCCGTCTACTACTGTGTACTCCGAACCTGAGCATTCCGTTCGGACGCCCATCACTGTCAAATCACGTCCGTCCATCAACCCTGCTCGAAAACATAGCAAGCGAGATGTGTTCGATGTGGATGCCGATCTGCCCGACTGTCCCATTGGATATTTCCAACTTCCGCATAGCCGATCACAAACCCGTGTGCTGATTCGAGTAACCGCCCATGCATTGCCAGAAAGACTCATCCAGTGGACAGAACAACGTGGGTCACGGAAGATTCCGCAGTTGATCCGGGCCTTTAAAACAAAAGTACGTCGTATTAGCACTCGTCGCATTCTGAGTGTCTCAGCTGTAAATCACTAAGAAAACTTTACATACTTGTTTTCTGACTGCTCGGTGCTTGTGGTTCGACATCGAGTGTTACCCAAACAATGGTAGGTTCTGTCAAAGGTGTTTGGTGACTATCGTGTCATGCTCTTGCTTGAGCAACAATAAACCTGGTTAACTGGGAATGCAGAGCTCAGCTCTGCCGTCAGAGCAGCTAACCAAACAAACACATACGCCAGCTCATCCTCGCCGGATTCGCTTTCCAAATCGCTATCCAAGACTGAAATCTCATTCATACGACTGAACTAGTTCACATTAGTGGGGTTCATTCTATTGTGTGATCGAACTCACAGTAGTTTGACATTCGATAGCAAATCGTTAATTGGGGGAAATGCTTATCCCTAGGCTTTTCTTTTCGTTCGCGCTGCATGTATCTGGGCTTGTCACTTCAAGGTCCATCATACCGCGTTCCACTTTCTATCCAGCTACTCATCTAACGTTTCTCTCATTGTCAATAAAAATACTATCACCTTAACCGGTGGCGTAGTTAGACTTCGAGCGTACGCACCTACGAAAGTGACCAACGTGTTTTTCGGCGACTGACAATCATCATTCAAGGTGATGGCAAGTGGATAGCGAAGTTTGACTACGTTTGTGGGTTGCTACTCCGTTGCTCGAGCTTGGAAATCACTGTATACAATTCTCATCATCATCCAGATGAACAGCGCAGATTAAGTAATGCGGTCGTGATCGAAGTCTTCATTGTCCCGGTTCACCTTCAACTCCAAGGCTACGCCCATCTAGAGCTGGGTGACGAAGCCTCACCTCAGTTTACTGCAGGATGGACACCACATCTGATTAATTTGTGCGGTACAACGCGATTGTGATAAATTTTCCCCGTAATTGGATTTTCACTGCGTAAACAAACGAGAATTTTCCCCCACTCGGTGTGCATGTGTGCTGTATGCTTAAGATTGTTTGTATTGGGAGCTTAAGTGCGTTTTTGGTTCGGTGCGAGATGGCTCAAGTAGTTAGAGCGCGAATTTACTGACCGCAAGGTCCGTGGTTCGAACCCGCCCTCTGCCTCTCGACTTCCCCTGCCTAGGCGTATTTATAGTTTTTATTGTTCCTACAGGAGTCTTCGGTTGTGGGGTCTCCCAGGCACTTGAAAGCATGCTTTTTTGTTTTCCTTGCATTTCAAAATCGCCGCCGATCTGTGCGTATTTTGAACGCGTATCGTTACTTATTTGACGGCAATTACTGTTATCCCGAATTCGACGCATTCATACTTCAAGGTGAAGCAACCTTAGCTTGGGCAATCGGATGAAACGTTAATACGACCTACACTCAGCCGTTGGACTAACTAGAACGGGCACGATGGATAAGAGGATGGGGTATTTGGGCAACACAACGCAGCAACAATCACTCCTCACCGTCAAGGATCATCTTCAGTTTCGTCTTGTTAGGAAGTTGAACCAGTCAGCTTATGGTCCCAATGCCCACCTGACTGAGACCTCCTGAGGTACATTAGCGCAGTGAGTACACGAATATCCCAACTTCTATGACTTCAAAACGGTTCTGAATTAGGAATAGGGAAGCGTCAGTTGAATTGTTACATCACACTTAGACAATGATCTATATGAGGCTGTAAATAGAACAGCCATAACAAAAACTACATTGCCCTTCAACGAGGCAGCATCGTTGAACGGCCCTACTGTTCGATCCTACCCATTTTCCACTTTCTATGTTGCTGAGTGAGAGTGAAATTTCTGCAAATCATAGGTCTCATTCCGGACTGAATTTTTAGCGCTTGCTGAGCGAAACCGCATCTTATTCTATCCACTAGGTATGGAACTACGGTGTTCATATTATTCTGTCTCAAGGTATATTTATTTTGCAACTTTCAAGTTGATCTACAGGGATAGCTTTTCAACTTACTCGTTTTGCTCCTGCCTGTATTTAGGACGGTTTTGTTCCATTTTCCTGAATGGATACGTGGAGTGTGAATGCGCGCTATGCTGAGGAAGTTTGGTGATTCCTTGAATTGTCTCTTTTTCTTTACCCTTTGATTAGCTACATGATTCATCTATGTGTGCGTTTGCTTGAGCGATGGACCAGCAGGTTACGGTGACATTCCGTAGACCCAGGTATCCGTCTAATGTGTACGAGATGAATCATATGTTTGTTGCGATCTCCTCTGTATGCGATAATTTATCATGCTTTTCTTTTGAAAAAAAGAACCTGTGCGGAAATGGTATCCAAAGAAAAACGGTGAAGTAATGGAATACCATTTTACGCGCTTTTTTTAAAGAATCGCGCTACCTCGGTCTTCTAAATTTGTGCAGCAAAATGGGGTTTCTTATTTTCATCTCTCGGGACAAGAATTCCTTTTTGGTCGTAAAACTGGCCCTGAAAAGCTGTCCTGCGCGTACGCACAGTTGTTATCATGCATAATACCCCACGTCTTTCATCTCTGTACTTACTTCCTTTCGTCTGTTTCGTAATCTTTCCCTGTACATCTTTGAGCATTTGCACAGCATGTAGCTTCACTTCGTATATGAATCCCGGTATCCATATTACAGTAATAATCCAATGAATAAGGGCCCTTCTGTAGAAACGCTCTAAATCTTTTGACCCCAGTGTCCGTCGATTGAGTCTGTACGGTGTTTGTCAGAAGCAAGAATAGCGACAATCCGAAGGGTATCTGGGCTTGCTTGCTTCAATGCTGGTGACGTTTCTGTTGGAGATTCACCTTGTGGGCTGGCGACTCTTGAATTACGCATCTCTGCACATTATCCCCCTCCCGAAGAGATACTCAACAATCATCCATAATTGCAATCTCGATTAGCTACGTTCTCGAAGAGAGGAGAGGCCAAATGCCCACCGAGGGTGTCTTGTCAGGTTACTTTATTATGCTAACCACTTTGCGCTGCTAATAGACAATCATACTGTTCAGGCCGTTGAAAATCGGTTGCCGATAGTAATTTTTATGGGTGTGCTATCCTGTGTTGCTTATCCAAGTTTGAACGTACAGTTAAAGTTTTTTTTCCGTTGGAATATACGTTCAACCCGAAGCGTTGGTTTGGGAGCGTGAACGCCAGCTAGATTTGCCATCTGGGAAACCTAACAACTGCAGTCCTGTCGTTCCTTTCATTTTTAGTCGTCTACGTACCATACCCAACTGACTCAGTTCAAAGCGGAATTTGCCGAGGTTTGTGCCGCTGTGGCTCGTGATCAGTCTGCTTCCGTTCTGGAGGGAGGTGATCAGAGCCGAATTGACTGGGAGCACATGTCAGAGTCTTTCCTCGCATTGGGACCGAACCAAGCAGGACCCAATATGCTGTTCACTCGTCTCCAAACTAACTGTTTCCCTGTCTTCACTGCCTGGGGACAAGAGGTGCGAAACGTTATTGACGCTACTGACGACGGGGATGAACGACAAATGGTTGCACGTACGCGTGAAATCTCACTACCTCTCATCAGCTATGGCAAAGCGTTACTACGTGGATTCCAGTTGGCCTCCGAGCGAGGTCCGTTATGTGCCGAACCCATGCGAGGCGTACTATTTATACTGGAAGAAATTTGTGCTGAAGACTGCTATTTTCTAGAAGTTCCTAAGCTGCCGAAGGATCCTTCACCTTCCGAACTACCCAACAATCATTGTCCCAATGAACAAGTTCCCGAACCGGTTACTTCCGTTAATTCCGAAGATTGTGCTAAAGAGCAGTCAACGAAAAACCGGAAAGCCAGGAGGCGCTTTGCTTCTGTTTCTTGGCTTGACGAAGGGGATGATGCCGATGAATATGCCGATCTGTTTAGTGATGATGATGAGGGAGATTGGGATTGGCAATCAAACGAAAGTCAAGAGGCAGTCAGTGAAGAGGAATCCAGCTCAGGAAGTGAGGCTGATGAAGCTTCACAAGGCAAAGTAAGTATTGGAGGGATTTTCTTCCCACTCGGTCTTCATTGTGCTCACGTTATCCGCAGTCTGATCTTGCTAAGTTTTCAAAAGCCTTGGAGCACTACTATAAGCTGATTAGCGTTCATGTTCAGTAACCTTGTCTTCTAGTTCCTTTCATATTTCGTTTAGTGCCGTTCTTTAAGCCGGTTATGGCTTAGCTTTTGCTCTTCGTCGATCCAGTCTAATAAGGTCGAACTGATACAGGGTTCCAAGTTTTAGTGCCTTTAATCACTTTAGTCACGATTTCTTAGTCCAGAACAGCAGAACAGAGAATAAACTGACAAGGTTGTAACTTCGATACGGTCCCGAGAATGCTTTGGTTTTGCTTCTCAGCTTCGCCTGATGCATAATCTGAGACAGTCAAGCTGACTTACAAGGAAAAATTGGTTCCTTTGTGTCGGAAAACCTTCTAGGTGGGCGTCTGTACAATCTCGAATACTGTTGACTCATGCGTTTCAATCAACCGTACATAATTTTCTTATGCGGTAGATATGACGCTGAATCATCTGAGGAGTAATTTCTTGTTGAAGTGGCAAACCCAATTGGAAAACTGTCGAGTCGAAGCTTTTCTGCTCCCCTCCAATCATCGTCCTTGGGGTGGTCGGTTTGTTGTCAGACATAAGTGCTTTGTATCAATTTCCCACCGCATAGTTTTGCTATACTTTTTGAGATCATCTTGTGTGTTCCGTCTGCCTCCACTATCTGTTGGTTGTTTGGCGGGTATGCGTTGATACAAATGCTAAAGCCGTGATATTCTTTGATGATGACGGCAACAGTGATGTTTAGCAATTCGGATGCACAGAACTTTTATATTCACTGGATCTTTCAAGGTCCCCGTCCTGTGTGTTACTGCTCGTTCACATTCGTTTTCGCTAACATTCGTGATCACATTGCTTGCGTTCGTACAGTCCTCCCGTTGTCCCTGTGCATTTATTCTGGCTAGTCTACACTAGTGGATATGCACTTAACTTGAATTTCTGCCAGCATTGTGTATCTTTATCTGTGTCGAGATTTGACCACCACGTGTAGGATCATGAAATGTCATTTTTCTATTAGGTGTAGCCACTCATTTATGGGCCTACCTCAACGTGTACAGGGCAACCAAGCAGATGTGGGAATGACCACTTACCATCAAACCAAATAACTATACGTTTAACACCAAAGATACCAGTTAGAAAGCACCTGTCTAACTGATGCCTCGGTGGTCCGATCCGCATCAACTTTCACTTGTCTTTGGTTGCATAACTGAGAATGCGCCAATGTCTGTCTGTACCAACTATTCCCCTGAGACATCAGTTATCGAGGATCGGGAACATCTTAGGTTTTTTGTCCGCAGATATCATGCCTCCCAACCATATCATGATATAATCCGTGTGTTGTCAAGTATATGCGATCCCGCAGACCCTGTACCATGCTAATATGGTGCGATTTCCCGGACACGGCCATGGCTTATGATATCAGCGTCCTGAGACATTTGAACAAGAGCCCCAACGCTTTTTTTAGCTATTCAGGCTGGATTGCGACCTGTTGTGGTCGGATAAACCCCTTAGTTTCTTACCATGTTATTCCAGGACTACTAATTATAACCCCATTTTGTATATTTCCTACGGACAGCCGGATGCCGTCCGTGAACTCATCAAGGAATTAAAAGATATACCCTACTGGAAACGTAGGAACGATCCCGATTGGTTGCAGGATGTGACGCCTGGTCTCCTCACCTCTGCAATGAATCGAGCTTGTCTGGCCGCATTCCAAGCATGTCCTGGTCAACGCTTGATGTTAGCAATGTACGATGTTGAACTTCAGGCAAGTTTCAGCTCCCTCTCAAAATGACCGTGCTAGTTACTTCTTTCCGGTTTTGTATCACTCGCTGTTAGGATTTTCTACCACCTGCTGCAGTACATGATTGTCGTAGGTTTGTCCTCAGTTGAAACCACTATCCATGAGTGAATGTTGATAAGCTCTTCTCTGATATTGTGCAATCATCATTACCACAACGTTTTCCGATTACACAGGTACCTGAATTAGAACGTAAAGGTTTCTATCTGCATTATAGCAGATCCTTGTGAACACTTTGTACTTATAAACAGCGGCCAGCTGCATCCCCCAGTTTGTACTTTGTCTTTGAGTGATATAGTGGTACCACATACTATATATATATATATATATATATATATAGTCTTAGCACTTAATAAAGAAATCGTCCATCTGTGATATCTTCCGAACGAAAAAAATGTGGGAGGGTTGAGGTACTACCAAATTGCCCAAACAGACTAGAGCAACCAAAAAGCTGAGGTCGGGTTCTAACCAAGGACCTCCAGGTCAGTAACTCTCGCACTGACAAATTAGCTAACTTGTTTCTGAAAACGCTGTCTTGTGATAGAATCTCTTGTCTCTAACTGGATGAACCTTATGTGGAATGTGCTGGGCATTGTGCCAGTCAATTTCAGAATCGGTCGCTCGGACTAGACTTAACAGAAAGTGGAAGTATACTTGATGTTGATCAAATGCCAGTCTTTCTATTCGTGCAGCAGACCAACTTTAACCTGATCAACCGCCAACTAACGCAATCGATCTACCAAGATCCTCACACATTATCAGTGGAAGTATGATGCCCGGTCTTTAGGTCTGAAACAATATTTGCACATATTATCAAGACCTGAACTGCAGTCATTTTCAAGGCAACCATGACAGGTCGAGCCAACGCCGTGGAAATGGCTGCCCAGGATCTTATCCGTTCGTCCATCCAGTTCTTGTGCAGTTCCGTGATTTATGGAGCCCACCAGGCAGGAGTGGTCCGAGGGTTTTCATCATGATCGAGGAGTCCCACACTGATGCCACCTTGATCTACAAATGAGTATTCAGCTTCACATAAATCATGTCAGTTGCCCAAGAAATAAAATAGTTTGAAGGTTTGAAAATCCCCCCCCCCCCAATAACTTCCAAAGAAGATATCGGAGGATCTGACAGTCTAGTTATCGGAAAGTAAAGGTAGTCTCAAAGTCTGATGGATATTCAAGACGTATGTGCACATGGTAGTTCGTTGGGGATCGTTTGTTCGATGTCAGCTGTTCAATCAGCCTGAAACGAGATAGTGGAAAAGTTACATATTACTTAAGAGTATGGTATCTCAAGGTAATGAATATACTTTGTCAGATCGAGAGTATCGACTAATCCCGACCGTTCGATCAGTTGGAGCGTCGTGTGAACTTGTTAATGCTCTACTAGAACCCGAAAACTAGTTGTATGAACGAGAAAACGGGGAGCGCTAACAATGTCTGCTTGTTGAGTAAAATCATTACAACAGATATATATGCAAACAAGGGACTTATCGTACAGGTACAGGTTGATAAATCCTGTTGTGAGTCCGGATGCAGGTTTCGTGTCTTCCCTGTTGTAGCAGCCACACGTATTCCTGAATATCCGTGCGTGAAGCACCGTAAGTCCTGAGCAGCTCTGCTCCGAGTTGGGCGACGCGCGAAGCTCTGTTGAGTTGTGTTGTGTTGCTGTGCTGTGCTGTGCTGTCATCCTATATGTAGGAACGTTTGCGTGTGTGGGTGTCAGCACATGACTTGTTGCTACCTCACCGGACGGTAGACAGTCGGTGTCAGATGAGTCACTCTTGTGTGTCGTGATTTGTACGTGTAGGGAAATAAAGCCAGTCTTGGGATCGAGGGCTTGACTGTGAGCTGTGTAGTCAAGTTAGTCACGATTCTGTGGCGTGATTTATGAGTGTAAGAAAAAAAGACAGATCTCGTGATCTAGCGAGTGTCGGTGACCTGTACAGTCATGTATGTTGCGAAAGGGTAGCTACAAACTCTCTACAACCTTATTGGAGTGTCTAAGTTGTTTGAGCTTTATTTGGTAGTCAATCAAGAGTATTCCTATCGAAAGTGCCGAGTCTCTCTTCTGTAAGTTCTCCAGTTTTCCATCCATCAGGCACGAAAGGAGTCTCACTATGAGTCTTGTTTATTTTCATGCAGGTATGCCCCACAGTCACGTGAACTACTCATTGTTCCTTCGTAAGCCTCGTAGAAGTAACCGACCCCATACTTTTACTTTTTTTCTTCAGGCCAGACCAGATGTTCTAGGACGCATGTTTGCTGTTCTCCGGAAACGTCATGGACTGGTTGTTAGTGAAGATTTTCGTGAAGGTGAAAACCTGTTTGTCATCAATGCTCGCCTCCCGGTGATAGAGAGCTTTGGCTTGGCTGCCGAACTCCGATCGAAAACTAGTGGTATAGTCAGTCTTCCTCAATTGCGTCCTGGAGGATGGGAGCTCTTGGACGTCGACGCCGTTCAGCGGGACGGTGACGCCTTGGCTAAGACCGAAAAGTCCCATAAGTCGATTGATTCGGATCGCGGAGGTAAAAAGGCCCCCATCAACCGTCGGGGTGAAGTCCACTCCGGTAAAGTGAAGAAAAATGTCCCTGCTCCCTCGGGTGCCGACAGTGATGAGGAACCCTTGGACGAGCTCACAGCTCAGTTCGCTCGAGTACGTAACTACATCCGTGAGGTGAGGCTACGCAAAGGCCTGCCTACGAACGAGCAACTGGTAATGTTTGCGGACAAACAAAGGACATTGAAGAAAAACAAATGATTTCTCTTGGACTCCTTTTATTGTACAGTAAATGCTGTCCTGTACAGTGTATACGATCTACAGGATGGGTTTGGATCCCATCGCAACAGCCTTTGATCCACACCCCTCCCCTCTATATTGATTTGTATTTCCTGATTTATTTTCCGGAAGCACCACTTTGTTACTGGTTATCTGGACTCGTTGCTACTGAGCTGTCTTTAATTCATCGGAGTGGAAGTCAAAAGAACTGGGTTATGACTGAGTAGAGACGTTCATTCGCACTAGTTCTGCTTACAGTCGTCAGTGCGCATATCAATACATCAGCAGGGGGAATAATGGTGCTTACAAGCTCATCGCTGGGATCGGTTACCCTCCTGTTGTCAGGCGAGCGCCAACCAACCTTCAGTGAGCCATTATTCATGAAGCTGAAGGATTTCCTCCTTGTTATCATTTATTTGAATGATCTAGACAGGTGTTCCAGCTCTGACAGATAATCATATCGCCTTGAGCAAGTACTCGCTCATATCCGCTTCCGATGCCCCATAAATCAGTTGCTAGCAAGGTCGCTTTGAAGCATGATCAGAAGACTACCACTGTCCCTGTGATTGTCAGTTTCATGCTAAGACCCTGCTTGAAGCTCACATACAATCGTCGGATGCTCCCAACGTGGCGTTATGGCGGTGACTTCGAATGTAGTCCTAGAGTGCAGTGAGAACTCAATCACCCCTACAACCAGCCGAGTCTAACTATATTTGACCAACAGGTATGCCATCAGGATGCTTCACAAAATGATTTTAGGCCCTCAGTATCCTTACCAACCTATCATAACCCGCAAATATATCCAATCAGAGGCCATCAGAGAATATAGAGAATAAGCCTGTTGCTGAAAAATAAGTTTGTTTCCTCATGCGGAACTATTGGATTTAGCAAGTGTTCAACTCTTCTTTGTAATGATAATAATATTCCCAACTCGTGGGTGGCATATCGTCTGACATGATCATAAGACCATTGACTACTCATCATAATAATCAGGCCCATGTCTAGGTGAGACACGGATAATGAGGCTTTACCTATGCACAGTAACCTAATGCGAAGGACAACGACGGCCGTTCATATTCATAACTGTGCATCTTGTCACTCACGTCGACTACTTATCGTAACTGCTAGACCCGTGTCTATGTGCGGCGCTGGTTGTGGGGCCTCACCTATGCACGGTGACCTAATGAAAAGTTCAACGGCGGCCCGTCATAATAATAGCTATATAAAAATCGCCTATCCTGATTGTTTATAGTAACTGCCGAACACGTACCCGTGCTCGCAGCTGACTATAAGGGCCCGGCTTCAAACAAATGACCAACCATACCCATACATGTCGTCCATCTGCCAAGCTCATGCCCAAAAACTGCACAACCGTCCTCGGCGAATCATGTTTCTATTTATTGGTCACATCGATGCGATTGTGCAGTAGCTCCGGTTCACAGCCACCTTAGTCTCACTGCAGTAGTTCAATGTTGTGGCCACTTCTGGCCGACTGTTATTTCGCAACGCAGTATAACTCACATCATGGTGCTTCATCGCATGGACTGCACATCATGGACTGCTTCTAGCAGTCCATTTCGAAACCTTTTCCTATTTCGAGTCGCCAATATACACACGAGTTTCTCATTGCCTCGCTTAATGGTAGTAATAAACCATCGTGGGCTGTCTACAGACCCAAGTACAACGTCGCGATGACGGTACCGCGACCGCTACACTCAATCTGATGGCTTGTCCGTAGTTTACCATATCCCTAATATTTCCCGGACGAGCGCGTTATGTTCGCCCACAAGAACATCCCATTCCATTTGATTTGGTTAAGGACTTGGGAGCACTTAGCACCTCACATTTTTTCTTCTTGTTCCGCCCAGAAACCCGCTGAGTCATTTTACGGCGCCATCAAGGTTTCGGCATGCCCTGCAGTTTTTACCTTGCCGCACGGCCGATATAGCTTGTGCTGACCATCATTAGATGAACATACTAGCTGCGACAAAATCCTTGGCCATGTTTGGCGGTTCGCCTGCAGCTACGACAGAAGAGTTTTTTGGAAACAGATTGCGAACTGCCAATTTATTTTGAGTTTGCGCGGACACAGTGGGAACGATTATGGTTCAAGTAGTCTTGAGATTATTCACAAGTCCAATACAGACGAAAGCTCGTGCGGAAATCAGCCTTTCACGATATTTCCCGCCACTCAAATGGACACAACACGCGGAGCCCTTAGCAGCCATTGAAACACAAATTCCACGCCCATGATCGGCCTTGATTACGTTTAAAAAACTTTCAACAAAACTGCAGCAGCGCAGGGAGATTTTAATGGCTCGAATTGTCACCATTAAGTGCTAAAACGTTATGTCAAAGTTTCCTCCATCTAAACTATCGTACTAGAGGAATTTCGTTCGCTCGGTCTAAAAATTTGCCACACATTCCAGCTCATAAATCTGCACTGCCAAGGTTTCGCCGCCAAATATTCGCACATTGAAATCGATTCCTCGAAGGCTGCGACAATTACAGAATTGCCAATTCGTAGTGTAGAACGTTTATGTATGATGAATTATTTTGCAAATTATCTACACGGGTGATTTGTTTAGGTGAGCGAATCTTCAGGGTCACCAAATAGACCGTAAGTTCTTTTCTTTATGTAATAAAACATCACTAATTGCGATCATTTACAATGGATATAACTTGCAGATAGTTCCAAGGATTAAATAAGTCGTTGAATATTTTAGAAACTACAAGACAGTTGTAGATGCAACAGATTCGATGATTTTGCTCGATGATTTCCAATACGAGATGAAATAGCGGAGGTCGCGCCCCTAATGTGGGAAAAATCTCTCAAGCTTGTTGTTAAACAGCGAAGTATTCCATTATAACCTGTGATATATGCCAAGATGACCATGACCTGGAGCACATTGGGCAGTTGAAGGAACCTAACCGAGGCACACGACTAACATGCGCCTAGGGGTACACGATGCCTACCCAACTAGCCACATGGACCTTAATTCGATCGTAACGGTCAGCTGAACATACCTGGCATACCCACACGACTGACATGCTGCCGGTGGTCCACGATGTCTGATTAGCTGGTTGGAGCACGCCCATCTATTTCTGCCGTGGGAAAAGTCCAAATTATACGACATGAACAGTTGAATAGTGCTGATCGTTTGGAAGCATATGGCCTTTTCGTGAGGAGTGTTCATTGAGCTATTGACGCCCTGAAATGAGAGGAAGATATAGATTGGGTTATCGAATTAATAATAATACTAAAAAGGTTTATTCTCAACTTGTGGGTGGCATACCATCTGGCATGATCATAGTTTTAAAGTCAGAATGGAGCATGACTGGGGGAGTTGTGGGAGTGCGGATTGCACAAAAAGAGGACAATGTCATATACAGTGGGGAATATCCGATGAAATAGTAATAGTAGGCTTCTTTCCTAACTTGTTGGGTACAATGGGCATGAGGTCCGACTAGTTCAAAGACATAGCCAGCTGGCATGAACTAAAGCTGAAAACCATTGCTGGCCATGAGTGACCTTGTGTGGTTAGGTAAATGGCTGGAGTCACAACGAGCAAAAGTGGGTGTGGAGATGGGATAATTCAAATTGGCGAGTTTTGTCTCAAAAGTATGGTTATCGGGGGAAAATACGCAAAGCATTCAATGCTACAGGCACCAATGCGAGCAAATGAGAATTTAGCGTGTTGTTTACCATGATATCCTCAATTTGAGCATACCGGAAAGCCGCTCAGCCACGAAATATCCCTTATCGAAAGATCTGTGATTTTGATGGACGAAGTTACCGTGTTCCAAGACCTCAAAGTAATTGTGGACGCGCTTAATTCTGTAAGTTATGCCCGAATCAGCCTTTATCTGCCCTGTTCCGTATAATATTGGGTGATCCCAACAGCTCTTGTCCTGAACATATCAGAATGAAGTACTCGAAATTACCTGAATCAAAACCCCTACAAATTAAAAAGGCCTGTGTAGTTTGGTAAGACTACATGAAGACTATTCATTCGTTGTCACGGTCGGGCTGTTCGGCATCGTTTGTCCATCCACACATAAAGTCAAGTACCGCACAGAAACTAGACTAACTTAAGGAGCACATTGGTGGTGCCTCCGCAGGTTCAAGCCAATCATCATCAATCCTACCGCGTCTCGGACCAAAACTGATTGTTGAATTGTTGGTTGCTTGTTTGCACGATCACTGAACCTTGAGAAAAAATAGAGAGATCTTATATTTCTGGGCACGCTCAACGGCGTTTTACAGTGTTTTGAACATACAAACTCGTCTACGCTTTTTCTAAGTTCTAATAACTTTGGGGAGGCCATTTACGCTTATGCTTGTTCGAAACAACTCTTGAATCACGATCTGCATAAATATGAGCTCACAATGACGCATTTTGAGTGGTAGGCATGCTACCGGGGCTTAGATGTAGCTGGAAGCGAAACTTCTACCTTCCGGAGGCATGTTTTTCAACCCGCCTCTGTGGACGGAGTCCTCAACTCCCGATGTGAATAATCAGGTAAAGCCTGTACACTGCTAGCCACTTCAATCGATGAAAAAACCGCTGGCTATTCGCACACCCAAATTATTTTCGCCAAAAATATAGGGTTTTCGAAGGTGTGGCTTTAACGGGGAGTTAGTCTAATCTATTTGCACCTTCCGGTGACATATTGCTCGTAGCCCTTTGTTTAAATGAGCGAAGTCTCAGGTTCACGGACCGTCACCGATTCGCATTTTCTTATACACAGTAACACAATCCAGTGGCCAAACACGGTCTTTCATACCCATAACCATACGCGATACCGCTTATTCTTCCTACCTATAGCAGACACCAGGCCAGTATCCATCTGGGCCGGTAAAAATAAGACCTCAGCTATGCGTGCTAGCATAATCTGATGGCCTGTCATACTCATTGTGCTACTCGATGTCGCTTTTCCTGGCTACTTATCGTGCCTACCAGGTATGTGTCAATCTGCGGCGTTGATTAACCGGTAACCTAATCCAACCTAATCTGTCGTGCCCGTAACTGTACGCGTTGTCGCTTATCTTTGATACTTATGATAAACACCGGGCTAGTATTTATGCGAACAGATGAATACGAGGCCCAAACTATGAACACATACCTAATCTAATGGCTAACGAGGGACCTCATACTCACAACT